ACAGTTATAAGTGATTTAGCCTGTACCTTGGCAAACCATTCACATATACAGTCACACTTGTTCTTGTCATGACCTGGAATTCCCACTTCTTTTAGGAAGCTGAAGAGTCTGAGGCAGGGTGAAGGTGGAGGTAAAACGGATTGAAGAACAGGGCCAAAACCAGAGCTGGGTCTCCTAACACTAGAGGGCCTGGAGGAGGCTGATCTGAAGAGAGAGTGGCCCTATGTCAGTATCAGGCCCTGCCTCCTCCCCTCCCTCTGTCCACAGCTGCCCTCATGGTGGAGGAGCTGAATCCCTACACCAAGATCAGCCCAGACCTGGGTGCAGAGTGGCACTCGGTGGGCGCTGTCACGGGCATCGTCCTTTTGCTGTTCCTCATGTTGGTTCTGGTGGACCTATTTGCCTGGTGCCAGCGCTGGCAGAAAGAGAAAGGTGGAGACCTAGCTCCCCGTGTCTCCTATACCCCTGAAATTCGGATGACCAGCACTGACTACTCCCTGTCAGGTGAGGGCTCTGCCCTGGCTTCCCACTTCTGCGTCAGCCACACAGCCCAGGAGGAGCGCCTGGTATCCTTGGGAACATTACAGGGTCGGTGGCTGTGTGTAGTCACCCCAGAGAGCTAATGGAGGCGGGGAGCAAGAAAGAACTTACTTGGGAAAGGTCCATGGGGTTCTAGACCCCATCTCTTAGAAGCTGTTCCCCCAGAACAGCCCCATTCCCCCTCATAGTGCTTCAGAGAATATCTCCCTCCAGGGCCATTGGTGCACATCAGGATGCTAGGCCTTGGGGCCAGGGCCCCAGGCCTGTCCATTTCTGCTTCTCTGGTGAAGGCCTCAGGCCAGCCCTCCCAGAGATAGGAGGACCTTCTTAGTACAGGAAGAGAGTGGGGCCTGACTTGGGAGAGGTCTGCAAGGTTGGTCGCTGTCCTGGCAAGTGGGCAGACCATTTTTAATGACTTTAATTCAGGGTTTCACTGGTACATTTTGTAACTGTTATAATATCTACATATCCCCTGGACTATTATTTACTTAAAACTGACTCATTGTTTTTATTTGATGTATTAAAGGAAATTTAATATCACTGCTATAAATAGTTACTAATTAATTCAACAAAAATTTATGAAGTGTTTCACATACACCATGAAGTATTTAACACACAGTAAGTAATGGGCATACAACAGTGAAAACATGGACTAGAAACTATCCCCACCCTCATGTAGCTATTGTTCTAATAGAGGAAACAGACAATAAGCACGATAGATATATAAATGTATAGTACATTAGAGTGGTCAGTGCTGAGGGGAAAGAAGAGGGCATTTTGGTCCTTTTTGTGCTGCTGTAACAGAACACTACAGAACTGGTAATTCATAAAGAACAGAAATTTACTCTCTCACAATTCTGGAGACAAAGAAGTCCAAGGTCATGGCATTGATGAGGACCTTCTTTAGGTTCTTGTTTAATAGAAAGCAGCGGGTCTGGGAAACGGGGTGAATCCTTCATCCTCACATGGTGGAAGAACAGAAGAACAGAACCCACTCCTGAAAGCTCTTTTTAGCCATTCCTAAATCTGTTTGTGAGTGCAGGGTCCTCGTGACCGACACACCTTCCATTAAGCCCCACTTCCCAACCTATTACACTAGATATTATTTCCCCACACATTAAATTTGCGAACTCTATCACAGCATAGCAAAGGGCTATCAGGTGTGAGGGCAATAGTTACAATTTTTAGATATGCAGGGCCTCCTTGAGACAGTAACTTTTGAGTACAAATCTGAAAGGGACCGGCACTAGAAATCTAAGAAAAACAAATCCAGTGAGTAGAGTAGATAGTGCAAACCCCAGAGTGAGTTTGCCTGGAGTGTAGAAGGGAAAAGATGGAGGTCATGGGCAGAAGCAAGGAGACTGGATAGCCAGCTAAGGCAAAAATGCAAGCAAGAGATGCTTGTGGGTTGGACTAGAGTAATGAGAAATGATGAGATTCTAAAAATACTGTGCAGGTAGAGCCAATATTTGCCCATGGGCCAGTTATGGAATATAGGTGCAGGAAAAAAGATCAAGGAAAACCCCCAAATTTTCATGTTGGAGTCCAGTATAGTCTTTCTTTCTCTCCCACCCTAAAGGCCCTCCTTACCACCACCCCCCCATTAGGTTTCTGTCATTTGCGTCCACTCAATGAAGGAAAGTTACCACTGATATTCAGGGAGAGAGTGCTTGCTTAGCGTGTGTGAGGCCCTGGGTTCAATCCTCAGCACTGCAAAGACAAAAAACACATTTAAAGCTTTAAGCTATAAACCTATTTGTGGTTTCACATATCTAAAGCTTGGGTCTGCTTCTAAGGCTGTGACACTTTGTCTATGTTCTAAAATGTTGCCCTTCTATTCTTCCACAATCTTGAACTAATTGCATTGGAAAGTTACTCTATATTTCAAGAATCCAGCAGATACCTATCAAAATACAGTACTGAAATTCTGTATATTGTAAATATACCGAATATACTCTGAATATTACAAGCATACTGAAATTCTGTTTAGTTAATTCTGATACATTGTCTAGTTGACTAGGGTAAGGAACACAGTTTTCTCAGAGAAGAGAAGCATTTCTGGTTCTTAGCAGTTAAGCTATAGACAGATCCATACTTAATAAATCATGTGCCACTTTTGTCAAATGAGTAAATGCAATTTAGCACCATAAACTGAAATTTTCACTAATTTCACCTTTTTTTTGGTGTATTCACTTTTTTATTACACTTGTTCTAGGAGAGAAGAGATTAAATAGAGTAACACTATATAAGCAAGAAAGCATAGTTTCATGACGAGCCAAAACATTAAATAAGAAAAACAAGGCCATCTCATTCTATCTTAAATATTGGCCTGTTACTTTAGTATTAATATAGCACTGGTATTTGCAATTAGAACCAATATTCTGGTCTCTGTACAAAAATAATACCTTTCTAGGGCCAGGGGTTTAGCTCAGCGGTTCCGGCGCCTGCCTCACAAGCTCAAGGTCCCAAGTTTGATCCCCTGTACCAATAATAATAATAACAATAATAATAATAATAATACTTTTCTTTGACATTAGTTCTTTAAACATCTACCTTGATTCCACATAGATGGAATCATTTAGTGCCCTCAGCAATAAATAACCTGTATTACTTTCAATTAAACAAATTAGCTTGTATTTCTACATCAAACTGTACTACCATACATCCATTTCATCAGAGAAATTCTGTATTATCCCTATGGATTATGTTTGCTTTTATATTGGATTGTGTAGCAAACAAAATGCTTAAAATATGATTAAGGTGGGGGAACCCTCTTACAACTGTCCCCAAGTAGATTCCTCCTAACTGTAATGCTTCCAGGCTGGTTTCTTCACTGGGCTGCAGATTTTTCTGCCCAGTAGCTTCTAGACACCCTATTTCCCAGCCTGAATGCCCCTGTTCCTGTGTTCTGTGTGTATTTTGACATCTCCATCCATCTGGCCAACCAGGTTCACAAAGTGAATCTTGGACCCCTGTCTAACCTTTACTTCCTATTTCCAGTTAGTTGCCCCAAACTGCCACTGAAAGCTTCCCAGCTGGCTTTTCAGCATCTATCCCTTCTTCCCCTCACTGCCAGCTTTATCTTCTTGAAGCTCAGATGTATCTTGTTCATTGCTCTGAAACCTTACAATTCTTCTCTATGGAATAGTCTAAACTCCTTAGAATAGAATTAAGGCTTTCCACCATTTGGCCAACTCCTCAAGGCATTTTGTTTCGATTATATCAAATGTTTAATTCATGGAGATGACTGAGTGATGGCAGAGTGGCCAACACCAGTAAAAGAAGTTTTGTTACAGTTCTCAACAGAAGGGAGCATAATATACCACACAGGGTCACATGGGCAAGTGCCAGGGTCAGTGCAGAGAACAGGAAGCAAAGGTAAAAATCATGGTGCAGACCTTTTATGATGTCCATGGGAAGGAATGGGGAGGCAAGAAAGCAACCTTGAGCAAGCTTAGCACTTTATTGTTTAAATAACATCAGTGGGCTCTGGAGTAGAGGAGTGATCTCCAGTTGTCCTGTACTGGGCCCTGGGGTGACTTACTACAGTGATCTAGGGGAGAAGAAATATTGATGTAGTGTGTGAATTAGCTTCAGGAAATGGGCTTGCATTAATTATATATTTGTATAACATTTGTATAACAAAAGCATGTTAGCAGGGGCAGTGTTTGCTATCTCTATGAATTACCTAACTCTGGAAAGGCATTTCCTCCCTGCAACCCCAAAGCCCCAAGATGTCAAAGCATCATAAAATTCAGAAGGAGGGCCGGGGATTTAGCTCAGTGGTGCTGCTGCCTGCCTCACAAGTGCAAGGTCCTGAGTGTGATTCCTGATACCAAAAAAAAAAAGGTATAAAATTCAGAAGGCAGTGTTACTGTTTGAAAATGCTGGTGTTGGACCAGCTTGTTCCTCCTAAATTAAGCCAAGCAAGCTCAAAGTGTGTCTGTTTGAGGTTTCAGTGTAGGTAAGTGGAGTGTAATATAGTTTTGTGGATGACATTTGGATTTAAAAATCAGCCCAGCAATAGGGACATCTTCTTGATCAAGACTGCCTAATACAAAAATAAGCTACATAAATTCCTAATTTGGAATACAGCTGGACAAAAGCAGTTTGTGCCTCAGCAAATTGGACAGCCAATTGTAGCTATAATTTTGATGATGTCACAATATGGAAGAACTGGTCAAAGTGCTATTTAATCAGACCTGGAGTACATAGTACATAATGCCTTTATTTGATGCCCCCAAAAGTGTTGTAAAACGTTTTCATTTTGATATAAACATTTAAAGGACCACATGAACATAATCTGGTACAAATGACGCTGCAGCTCAGCGGGCGTTCCAACTTCCAGGTAAAATTCTCAAGCGAGGCTGCAGGAAAAAGGGAGGAGGAACTTCCGGCTGACGCCCCCTAGCCCTTCTGTCGCCCGGGACCCCATCCGCAGATTTTGTCGATTGCTTCTGCCTGAGCAGTGACGGACCCACTCCGATCGAGTGGTTGGGTCTGACCCGTTCCCGGGCGCGGGAAAATGAGTTTCCACCCAGCCCGGCAGTCTCAGCACCCTCCTCGACCCTGAGGCGCCTGGTCAGCCTGTGGGTCCTCCGGGTTCCACTCAAATCGAATCACACTAGGGGAGGTGGAGGAGCTCGGGTCGCCTCCATGTCCGAGGCTTATTTCCGGGTGGAGTCGGGCGCGCTGGGACCTGAGGAGAACTTTCTCTCCTTGGACGACATCTTGATGTCCCACGAGAAGCTGCCAGTGCGCACGGAGACTCCCATGCCGCGCCTGAGCACCTTCTTCCCGGAATGGGGCGCCGGAGCCGGGCCGGACCACGCGCTGCCGCAGGTGGGCCGCGGGCTTGCGGTTCGGAGGGCGGCGCCCCGCAAGCTGTGACCTCGTCGGGCCCCCTCCAACACTGGTTCCCTTATTGGAACCGCAAGTTGTCAGTGTCTTCCGCCTTCACGTATCGGGGTGTGGGCTGTCACCGCCGAGTACTTCAGGATGGGGTTCTCCTCGCGTGTCCCTTAAAACAGCTTTGAGTTCTGTCAGCGCGCGTATTAGCGCTGGGAACTGCAAATTGCCATATTCTTTCGGGCACACCGATGACGTTAGTGCCAGGACTGACGGCCTGAGGGCGAAAGCTTTTCCGCCTTTTATCCCTTGAGTCCGTCCACAGCGCTGTAAGTAGGTCTTGTAAACGTAACAGAAAGGTTAGGTACCGAGACCAGCGTTCCTTGGTAAATGGTGAGCTGGGATTGGAACCTAGGGCCCTGTGGCTTCAAATACAAGTTTGTCCCAGGACCATGGTGTTGATTTGACCCTTGATTAACTGGCTGAAGTAGTTTTTGTTACGGTTTCTCCCCTATAAAGTTAGTCATTTTTATGCCTTTTCATATTGAACACTTTGGAAGGAAGGCACGCATTGCCACACTGAAGGAGTAGGAAGTTATCCTCTGCATCTTGGAGGCCAAACTGTCTACATGAATACTTGAAATAATTCTGCATAAGAGAGTTTTATTTTCTTTTAAAATTTTCTTTCCTTTTTATTTTTATAGTACATGTTTGCAGTACATAATGATTACATTCATCTTTGGGAGTTGGTACATGTACATAACACATCTTAATTCTTTTTTATCTCCTCCTTTCACGCTTCCTTCATCCTTTGGTCCCCCTCCCTTTTGCAAGTGCATAGGAAAGTTTTTATGACATTTAATATCATTCTTAGATATATGAGCATTTGTATTTTCTATTCTCGAGTTTCAGTATATGGGGGAGTTCTAGAAAGCTGACTATCAATGTTTTCAAGTGTATAATGTTGCTCAAAATATCCCTTTATACTCTTTTAAATGTAGTATTATACTAGTATCCTGAGTTTTACTCTTGAAATTGATAAATTCTGCTAAAGTTTGTCAATTTTATTGGTTTCTTTTTGTTTTGTTAAATTCTTTTATTGGTACATTGTAGGTATACAACACAATTACATTTCTCATTGGGAACTTGTACCTTTACAT